GCTTAGTCTTCAAACACCTGCAAGCTTTTGCTAGGCACACAGCTTGGCTCCAGACAAACACTGGCTGCACCAAGCGCTTGGCAAGGCTCTGTACCTGCCACCTTAACCACCCTCACCGAGGGCCCTATGGTGTCCCCACCCTCCTGGATCTCCCACAGAACAACCCGGAGGATCTGTGACTAAGGCTTCTACCCTGAACTCGCATCACCTGGGTCCACCAAGGCCCGAGCCTCCTCCCCCACACACCAAGCAAAGTTCCCTTTGCCCTCCGCTCCTGTAGACCAGCTCCCCTACCCGCTCTAGTTTCCCTCCAGAGCTGACACCCTTTCCCTTCCCTACCTGAGCATGTGGGTAGCAGGAGCTCTAGGGCCAGCAAAAGGATCCCAAGGAAGCCCCAAGAAAAGGGACTCTCCAGGCGGCGGGAGGATGCCCTGCGCGGCTGGTAAGATGCCGTCATTGTCCTGGACATCAGCGGGAAACCTGAGGGACAGGGAGTTTTTGTGGTTTTGAGGGCGGCTACCAGACACAACAATCCCCAGACTCAAAAAGTGTCAAGTGCGTTGCCGTTAGTGGGCGTGGTCTGGTCCATTGCGTCACGCTGGGGCGGGGCCAATGGCGGACTCAAAGGCGGGGCGGAGACCCCAGGGCTGTGTGTTAGCCAAGGAGGGAACGGGGCGTGGCCTGGCCAAGGTCTCATCCAACTGGGTCCACTGGCAGCTCGGGCTCCCGCTGCTGGAAGCAAGGCCAAGGTTTCCTAGAAATGGGGGGTCAGTGCCTGGTCCTTAACCAGGCAGTTAGCACCCCACTCAAGAAGGATGGAAAGGAAAGGAGAGCTGGCCCAGTCGTCCTTGCTTCTTTCCAGGACGCCAGGATCCAAGACTAAAGCGCATGGATCTGAAAATAAAAACCCAGAGCCCAGACAGCAGGTTGGGTAGGTGCCAGCACCCCTACGGTTCCACTTTTGTCCTGAGGCCTCCAGATCTAGTCTCAGAAAATTCTCTTTCTCGAGATATCATAAGGACCCGACCCTGAGCCCCCAGTGGGAAAGGGATTCCCCTCTTCCACTGGTGGACACCCCACTTCCACAGATAACAGAGCCAGGGTCTTTGCTCAAATTTGGCATTAATCAGGCATAATTAGGGACAATCGTTGAGATTTCCGTGGTTGAAGGTCTGCCACTGAATCCTCTCAAGGCCTGGTAGATTTCATAACCACCAAGATGGCTTGGCCACTGCACCCCCAACCCCAATATAAATGCCTCTGCCCCTAGTCCCTTGAGAGGCCCCTGGGAAGGTACATTATTAAACACTATGCCTTAAGGATATTGGGTCTCAACCTATAGGACCCTTGCCATTTTGGAACTAAATGTTTTATTGAAGACAAAATACATATGTTTGGAAAAGGCTAAGGACAGGGTGTATTAAGTGTCAAATTCCTGGATGTGGTTAATGCCGTGATTGGTGGGATGAGTAGGAATTGATAAGAGGGAGAACTTTTGTGGTGAAACCATCTCAATTCTGGAACATTAAGAATGAGCAAGATTTACTGGTAGAGTCGTGAGTAAATCTGTAAGACTGGTTTTTAAAAAGAGTAAGGAGGGATATTAAAGAGCATACGAAAGGAGCTGACATTTTGTTCTTTAGTTGGCAAAGAATCAAAATGTCAGCAATTGTGAGTAAACGCACTGGGAGCAGCAGCATCCTCAAATGTTTAGTTTTTAATGTAACTTTGTTGTACGTTAAAACTTTTACAATGGACATGACTTTTACACCACCACTTTTGTTTAGAGTTTATCTCAAAGAAATCATCAGAGCTGTGAGCAAAGATGTCAAATTTTGGCAACATATAAAATGCTAATTGTCTGGAAACAGTATTGAGGAATTTATGGGAATCCTATGCAGCATGCAGTGTAAAAATATCAATGTAACTGATAGATTTGTAAGTGTACAAAACAGACTCCAAATCAGCATGTGACGTTTGGCATTTCCTTTATAAAACAGAGTGAGTATTGGTACACATAAAAGAGATTAGTTGGAAATATACCAAATTAACTTAGTTGAAAGGATTATGCATATTTCATTTTCTTTGTGCTTTTTCAGTTTTCTCTATAAACACCAGTTGCATCTGGAATCATGTAATGAATAAAATTGTAATAATCCCGTTTCTGTATCCATATCTATTTTGTTCATAGAATGAGGCAGATAGAACCTCTGTCACATAGGGTAAGGAATGAGAGGTTGGTGAGGAAATGGAAGCTCTCAGTACAAAACTCAAATGCTCCTTCTGGAATTACAGAAGTTCATATATATTTACACAATTCTGCATCTGAGATGTAGTGAAGCCTTTCTGAGTTCAACAAACCATGGAAATTCCTGTTCCTCCCTGAACAACACAATGTTTTGATTCTTAGCTGAGCATATAAGACACTAATGTGGAGGTGATGTGTAAAACTGTTGACCATGAGAAAAATATACCTGCCCCAAAGGACCCCTTGCAGTTAATTGGGATCCAATTCATAACCAGAGTCTAGCAGCCATTGTTTAAGGAGGTACCTCTTGCACTCTGCATTGCAGGATGGTCGACACCTGAACTACCCAGGATGCATTTGCTGATAATCACAGTGCTAGCCTTACACGTAAATTATAAGTTCACTAGAATGTTTTCTTCCTGTGGTTGTGGTAGCTATGTAGGGCAAAAGACTGTGTGGCATAAATTGAAGTACTGAGAAGATAAGAGATTGATGAATATTACTTAACCATTCCCCATTTCTTCTTTTGTCAAAGGAAAGGTGTTCTCAGAAGTGAGCAACTAAATAAAAAGAGTCTCATTCCAGAAAACCCACAGGTCCATTTATCTCACAAAATCGTTCCTTCAGTCCTTTTTCTGAACCATGGCTGTGGCAGGGGAGGTAAACAGGATCCAGTAGTTTGGAGGAGGCTTGTCGTCCTGCACTGAACACAGTCAAGACTGAAAGGAGTATTGCATAGTTTAGGGCAGCCGTTCTCAACCGGTGGGTCGCGACCCCTTTGGGGGTCGAACAACCCTTTCACAGGGGTTGCCTAAGACCATCGGAAAACACATATCATATTGTTTTTGTGATTAATCACTATGCTTTAATTCTGTTCAATTTGTAACAATGAAATTGGGGGTCACCACAACATGAGGAACTGTATTATAGGGTTGCGGCATTAGGAAGGTTGAGAACCATGGGTCTAGGGTGTCCAAATGCTTCCTTGGCCAGAATGAAGCCTCCCCTCTTTTTTAAGGCCAGGAACACTGTCCTTCCACCAAGGCACAGACCCCTGATGGGGCTATCAGTTCACCTGACACCCCAAGCAATTACTGCCGCCTGATCCCTCATCATTGTTCTCTATCTCAAAAGACTTCCCAACATCATCTGACACATACATAACCATTGAGAATTCTCATGTCCTTGGAAATGTGACTATAGGAGTAGCCAGAGTTGAGAACCACTTGTCTATACCTTGCTTCTACAAGGCTTCACTTCTCAAAGCAGGGGTCCTCAAACTTTTTAAACAGGGGACCAGTTCACTGTCCCTCAGACCGTTGGAGGGCCGGACTATAGTTTTAAAAAACACTATGAACAAATTCCTATGCACACTGCACATATCTTATTTTGAAGTAAAAAAACAAAACGGGGACAAATACAATATTTGTATTTGCATGTGGCCCGCGGGCGGTAGTTTGAGGACCCCTGCCTCAAAGTGTATTCTGAGGACCCACAGCATCGGTGACTCCTGAGGCATAATTTCCATATATCATTGTATAAATTTAAGATATACAGCATAATGATTTAATAATGTGTATATTGTGAAATAACTACCACAATAAATTTAAGTAACATTCATCACCTCACATACTTACCAAAAACATTTTTCTTCCCTGTGATCAGAGTATTTAAAATCTATTCTCTTAGCAACTTGCCAATATACAATACACTATTACCAATTATAGTCATCATGCCGTACATTACATTCCAGTACCTGCTTAATTTATAGCTGTTGACCAACTTCATTCAATTTCCCCAGCCCCCTAACCCTTGGCTCTGGCAACTACAAATATGATTTTTTTTTGGAGGAGTCTGGTTTTCGGATTCCTATCTGTGAGGTCAACAGTATTTGTCCTTCTCTGTATGACTCAGTTCACTTAACATAATGCCCCCAAGGTCCAGCCATGTTGTTGCAAATGGCAGGACATACATAAATAACCTTTTCTTTACCTAGTCATATGTCAATGGACACAGGTTGTACCATGTTTTCGTTATTGTAGATAATGCTGCACTAAACAGGGAGGTGCAGATATCTATTCTTCCACATAGCAACTTCATTTGCTTTGGATATATTCCCAGAAGTGGAATTGCTGGTCATCTGGTAGTTGTATTTTTAATTTTATGCGAGTCCTCCATACTTTTTAAAAAAATTTTAGCTATACAGATTAACTGCTTATTTTAACATTTTAACAGATGAAAAGATAAACTGATACACTGGATTGGGAAACCATTTAGTGTGTCTGTGGTGCTGGGGTGGCTGATTTATTCTGCTACGTGCTGTGTGTAACAGTGACCTCTGTTTCCCTACGAGGCAAGGTAAAGAGACTGCATCGGAGACAAACATAATTAAGAACAAAAATTAAATTCCAGAAGCCTGTTTAGAGAATGGACAATGGGAAAAAACCATTGAGCCCTGAACTAGAAAGAAATCATTCTTTTTAAGTAATTTCAATGGTTAACTAATCTTACTCTTCTTCTATACTGTGTTGTATTTTTTATTCCATTTAAACCAAGAAATAGAGAGCTGCTACATTTAAGCACTTAGCACATGTTTTCTCATTTTAATTTAGTTCCAATGGGAAAGACTGGAGAGAAACATGTGCTTTCCTAATATCACAATTTAAAATCTGGCTCTAAGATAAAATTTTAAGATGGTACCAATTTCAACAATATTCAGGTTCAGTAATGCCTCATTTACCCCCATTGTGAGGCAAATCATGTGTTCTGGCAAGAGATCCTCCTAAAAACCTAAAGTTGACATTGCCCTTTAGTTGTAACAAGGGGCATCTTTCTAAAATCTATCATTCTAGTCCAGCGCTGTCCAAGACATATAATGAGTCACCTGGGTAATTTAAATTTTCTAGAAGCCACATTTAAAAAGTAAAAGAAATGGGAAAGTGAATTTCAATGTATTTTACCTAACCCAATATACATGCAATTTACATTTTCTTACCAACTCTGAAATCTGGTGTGTATTTTATACTGACAGCACATCTTTTGCAGTCCTGATTGGATTATTAACTATTAAATGGGAATGGTTAACTATTAATAACCATTAAATTGGAAAATGCAGCCGTAGTCCCTGCCTCAGTGAATGCACCATCGCAGACAGACTAAAGCTCAAATGGCCCAGCCAGTGATTCACAGTCTGCTCCTCACAGCAGGCACTTCAGGGATGCCTCCCAGTGCAAGGGCTCCAGGTCGGTTTGCATATTAGAATATTTCTCTTGGTGGGAGGCCAGCTCTGTGAACCACCACTGTCCCAGGACTGCCCTTGGGACAGAGCCAGGTCCTGAGGACAGTGGTGGGGAGGGAGGCAAAGGGTAGGCCTGTCACTGAGCTCTCCAACACCACTTCCTTTTTCTGTGTTTCACAGTCAATTCATTTGATTTTCTATACTACAGTGGGGCCTTGACTTACGAGTTTAATTTGTTCCGAGACCGAGTTCGTTAAGGAGCTCGTTAACTCAAATTACTCTATCAACTCAATGCAAAAAATTGGCCGAGAGACAGCTGGTATCTCAAAAAACTCGTTAGTTGGGACACTCGTAAGTCAAGGCCCCACCGTAGTAGAATCTTTTTATTCAAATCCATTTTAAAATAGAAATCTAATATATATAAAAGAGATAAATAAGCCCTGATATAAATTTTAAGAAACATTTATTTGATAAAAACAATGAAGCCATTTGAAGACAATGAAAATCTAAAATGGAATTTCTCACGACAGTTATTTAATATTAACCTCAGCATGCATTAAAATAACCGTGAGAGCTTCAGATATCTTGAAACTCATAACAGTCTGAAAACTGGTTGGTTTAGGCTCCAGGAATCCCAGAGATCAAGCAGATAAGAGAGGACTGGGAGGCCCTGACTGCCCTTCGACTAGGAACCTTTGTCCCTGAGATAAAAGACGCCACTTTGCTTTTACCAAGAAATTGCCTTTCCCATTGGCCTGTGTAGAATCTGCTCCCAAACTCTGGATTGTAACTTAGAATAAGTAGCTCCCCATATGATAAGTGGGAGGATAGATATCTCTTACCTCATGGCCATTTTCAATCAGTGATTTAAATATGTTTACTAATCTCAAAAAGGAGTCCTTATGCTAATTTTCCACTTGAGCATGAAGGTTGTAGAAGGGAAATTGTATTCCAAATCATCATAAGTGCAAGTTTACATCAAGGCATTTGGTACCAAGTTTCAACAGCAACGTTTGCTTCTCTATGTCTAGTACCTTGCTTCCAGAGTTACCCTTAGGAATAAAGAAGTGTCTCTATACATGTTAGAGTCTCATAAATTAGCTTCTAAGGCGATGGCAGCCATTTTTTTTGAGGAGTGATTATGGACACCAAACAGTGTAGAGATATAATACAAATCTTTACTTTTCCTAAAGAAAAGCAGGTAAAGCTAAGTGTTACCCCACATCCTTTCTGGAGCATGTACACAAGATGAGGAGTCTTTAAAAAATCCAAGTACCTAAAACAGGAGAAACATTTGCTCATAAACTTGAAGGTGCTTATTCATATTTCAAGAACACACGCACATCCATGGTGGTCTCCACCCTGGTTACTCACAGTGGTCCAGGCCCAGCAGCAGCAGCACTTGGAGCTCAGCGGACATGGAACCTCAGATCAGCTGTGGTACTGAGCCTTGAATCCAGGGCTACAGCGCTCAGACACCTCTTCACCTTTAATAGAGCCCTTACCTGGTAGCTAGAGGGTTTGATTCAGGTTTATTTAAGAACTTTAAAGTATTTTGATGCGGTGATATTTTAAAGAAAGAAAGTGAGGAACACAAAGCTATTTTGCTATCTTTAGAAGTTATTGCAACACGAACCATTTGGAACTGTAAAAACATTCCACAGAGAGCACTGCCTACTTAGAGTGCTGTATATATGTAATGTTAAAAATACACTACAATTAGAGAGTCATGAGTTCTGCAGTATGATACAAGATTCAAATGAAGGCACTGTGGGTGTTTTAAAAAAAATAAACAATAATATAAAAAAAAGTTTTAGCCTTTTATGAGTGAAGAATGTACTCTTATTACATCGCTCAACGCCAATGATTAATATGAAAGAAAAATATATGATAAAACCACACATACAAGAAGTCTTAAAAAATATTAGTTTGATTTCAAAACTATCTCCAAAAATGACAGGGGAAAACAAATGGCTGAAAGTCAAATATTTCAGTCTTGATCTAGACTTGAGGACTTATTCTAAGTCTTTTATTACATTGCAAGTTATTTAATTAAAATTTAAGTGTGATGCTTACAAATTCTATTCTCCTTAGAAAAAAATATATGTGCACATTTTTTTTTCTATTTGAAATTCCCCACTTTTTCATTTTTATAGATAAAAAGGCAGATAAAGTTAATGAGGTGCCTTGGTAATTTACCCCTCTCAGCAACTTTATGTTTAACCTTGAGCTTTATTGCAACCGAGTTAAGTAGGAGAACATAAGAGGAAAGTCAAACAATGTTGCTTTTAATTCCCCAGTTTAACATGTATAAATAACAACTCTAAATGAAAAGAAATCAAATTGGGGACCTGAATAAGACACCTACAAAACTTCTTACAACGACTTCAGATATACAGACAAATGGAAGCTTTTATCCTAAAAATTTCAGTGAATAGAATTGTCAGTTTCTACAGTGAACTATT